GGTTGATTGAAATCTGAGCATTTCTGAGAGCATTGATCTTTTGTCCTAATAGAAGAAATGTAGATGAACAATACGGTGGCTATAATGTGCTACAAAATGTAGAATTTAACGTTTTTCAATTAAAAGTTTGATGAAAATGTGACAAACTTAAAGCAAAGGGCACACATACACCAACCCACGGCCTGAAGAAGATGTGTATGAAAAAAAGGCCGTTGCTCAGATCAACATCGGCCCCAACTAACAGAGGGTGGTCTGCCTGTGCAATTACAAAGACAATCTTTTTGACCGGCAAATAGGATCACGTTCCCTTCTTTTTCCGATCATCAATCAATCAATCAATCAATCAATCTTTATTTGCCCTTTCACATACTAATTACAGAATAATATAAGATAATTTTATACCTGGGCAGGAGCTCGTAGCAAACCCTTTTGGGCTCACGAGGAGAGCCCCTGAACAGGATATTATAAAAAGGATATAGCTGTGTTACGAGGATGACAGTAATTGGCGAACTTATTTAGAATAATCATTTATGTATAAATTCTTCGTTTGTATGGTGAATTTCTAATTTTCTTGCTTGTGGAGAAAATGCGTTTTCATTTTTTTCCTGAATAAATTGAATGTCTTAATTTCTTTTATAGATTTTGGCAAGTTATTCCATATTGTGACTCCTTTGTATTTTACAGAGTATTTTTGTTAGTTTGTTTGTGCTTGGATTTTGTGAACGTTAGAAGATGATCAACATACGTAATTGTTCAAACAAAATAAATCATTAAACAATTATTGGATGAGGTTGAGCATGATATCATGAATTATCAAAACCGAGGTCTATGTTATCTGCCGAAGCCGAAGGCTGAGGCAGATAATACAGACACGAGGTTTTGATAATTCATAATATCATGCGAAAACCGAATTCAATAATTGTTTTATTATACATTTTTTAAACAATAGGCAAAAGAAGAAATTATCATTGGCAGTGCATAACACCGTGGAGACCTGTAAGATGTGAATCGTACTGTAAACAGCTTTGACAGCGACTAGCTGCTACTGGCTGAATGATTTATACTTAACTGAGGCATGTTTGCTTTCTTGCTAGTAAAAATGAGTGCGAGGATCAGATGCGTTGAATACCCTATTGAGGTTCAGCTTCGACGAATCTCGCATCGTTGAAACCCTCGAAAAAAGGGTTTTAATGTGGACGCGAGACAGAGTTTTTGAAAACCGTATTGACTTGTGAACAAATTAAAAGACGAAAAGGGAAGAAAAAATACCGCTGTTAATGCAAAGACAATATTTTTAAAATGTTCTGGTGAGGTGATCGATGAAGCATAAAAAACAAACAAATATCAGTGAAGACAGGTGCAAGCATTCTTTGAGATAATGTAAGTCGCGCGCGCGAAAATATCTTGCCACAACTGGAGTTACTGTCTTCCCATGTTTTCGGAGGTTTTCTGTAAGTATTATGTACCAGGGCCGTAATCTGAAGAGTCTACTTACTTTTCCCTTTCTAATGGATATCATGTGAGGCCTGGGGTTTATTAAATAAAGTTTTCAAAAGCATAATTTACCGCTCAGGAGCCTATGACGAATAATCATAGGCTCCTGGCTGAAGTTATTGTTTTCAAGGGCTAGAAAATTGCTACATTCGGAAAATTTTATTGAATTGACCATTGGCGGTCTCTTGTATTCTTTCAACGCTAAAAATGTCTATACTAAAAACCTGATGACGCAGTTGAAATGACTGTATTTTGATTATATTTGACATGATTTCCACAAGACAATTCAGGCAACATTATTACCCCGGCCATGCAGAGTGGTAGACGGAGAACATTGTGTCCACATGATACTCCACATTTAAAAAAAAAATTCAAAAATCTTGGGGTTGCTCCAGAATTATATTCCTGCTGCACGAAGTGGCTAACTACCGAATAGCTTGTGCACAGATCCCCCTTCTCTCAAAAATAAAATAAAATAATAATAATAATAAAAAATCGGGAGGTTTTTGTGGGGAGGGGGTGGAGGGTGACATCGGGGGAGGGAGCAGCGTCTGTACACAGGCTAATTACCGAAGCAAAGAACCATTTTTCAATATTTCTGTCTCCTGCTAAAACGTTTACCGAAACATCCAGTAATAGATAAAAACGCACTGTGCACCCTGTGAATCTTATCACAGAGCATGTTTCTGATATGTTTGAACTCCTTGAGTATCAACCAAGCAGGCAGACACATTTCAGACATTTGCACCCACCGTGATTCTTTTCTGACAGTTTTCTGCGGGGTTCAGTGGTTTGAACTCAATTTTTCTTTGACGGGAAATGCTACACAGTCTGGCTCCCGCTGTGGAACTGCTCTTCCTTAAGGATTTTCTACGATCTGGTGAAGAGCTAATGTCAACTCAGTCTGAGAGTCTTCTGGCTTTTAGGTCAGCGGGGAAAAGATTGTTGTCAACTTTTTGTTGCACGCACCCCTGACCAGCTGAATTGCCTTTTAAACAGACCCACAGGCAAGGCAAGACTACAAGAGTTGCACGTGAACAAACGTTACTAACTTGTACAAAATAGGACAAAAAAAAACAATGACAACAGCGACAATCTAGTGAGGAGATCTTGTGAAGACCTGCGTCAGTAAAAAGTTTGAAACATTAAACTGATTATTATATTATGGTAAGAAGAATGAGGACAAAAATGGTTAATTAACAGGAGCCCATCAATTAATTAAGGTTATTTGTACGCCCAATTAGGGTCTGCAATCTTTTAGGGGGGACTAACAAAGAAAACCCAGAGAAAAAACAAAACAAAAACAAAACCGAATAAAACGGGCCTGGGGGCGATTATTGTGTTTGCTTTGTGTACTCATCCAGTGGCAATCTCTGACCAGAAGCTGTACAAGAAAACAAAAAGGTCCAGTGTGGTAGGTTGCCCTGAGGTCGGACGCCATCTGGAATCCTCGGCGTGCTAGAAAAAGTTTGTTTCATTTAATTGTGACGCAGTGGCAACAGCGGGTCACGGTATCAAAGGGATCGCTGGCAGCGTCTGGGACTAAAATTGACACAGCCCCGCCGCGATAAACACGCGGTTTCAAACTCCACAGATGGCCAGGTCCTTCACTCACGCGCACAGTCACGGCTAACTAGTCCTGGCCCGTATCTTTCTGTCACGTGCCCATGACGTTTCGTACCCAGAATATTTAACTTATTGATCCGGCAGGGAGTTTTAGGGAGTCAACTCATTTCTTCTCCAGGCCTGCTAGCAAGCTCTCGTGCCTCCCCCAAAAAGGAAGGCTTGCTCGCAAGCTACTCCTCTCTCTCTGAGCTGTTTCTCTATACTCCGTGTGAGTACCAAGTCAATCAAGGAAAACAACTACTAAACTGCAGGGTCAGTGGTTCGTGGACTTTTCGTCAAAAAAATTTCGGATCGTAACTTCACCCCATACCAGCACAGTACTGATATGAACACCAACCCTGGCTGCCGGCTGCCTGTTACCACAGGCAGACCACTCTCTGTTTTAGGGGCCTTTGTTGATTGAAATCTGAGCATTGATCTTTTGTCCCAATAGAAGAAATAGAGATGAACAATACGGTGGCTATAATTTGCTACAAAATGTAGAATTTAACGCAAATTTTTCATTAAAAGTTTTAAGAAAATGTGACACACATACGTACACCAACCCACGGCCTGAAGAAAATGTGTATGAAAAAAAGACAAAGCAATGGCTTCCTTGTTTATATCATCTGAAGGCGAAATTGATGGTTCTTTGAAGAGAGGACAAGTATGTCCTTTAAATTTTAAAGAAGGAATGGTCCTTATAACTCTGGGATTATAGCTCTGGGGGGGGGGGGGGGGGGG